AGTAGTTCTCCAGCTCTGTTGGGGAAGGACTTTGTGCTGAAGGGATGTAAGTGGACCATATGAACATTGATTTAGCTAAGTAATGGTTTTAAATGTTGAGCTCACATTACTCTCAACACTATCACTGTATTACTGTTGGATTTCAGAGGTTTACAGCTAGCTGTATCAGCCATTTGTATGATCACTGCCTATCAGCAGAATGAATTGATTGAACTACATCTAACATGCTTTGGCAGAGTGCCTATCTGAAATCTGTCCAGGTGTATGCAACAGCATAAGGTTAGGTGAGTTGCATGGTGAGGAAGAGTTTGTACAGATGACAGTGGAAATTTTCCTTTAGATGTAACATTATGTGCGTTTTATTTGTGCCAGTCCTCTAGATGGTACCTAACACACAAATAAAGAGTATTTGAAAGCCTTGTCTGGTCTGCAGCAGTTGAAAAGGGATTTCATTTTCATGCTGGGGAAAGTTGGAAGCCTGAGAAGATGTGTTGCAGCGTATGTAGGCACCTCTGGCTGAATACAAAGGTTTTCAGGGAAGGTTGTTTCTACAGTACGTTTGTGAGTATCTGCAACTTCGTTGTTATGAAAAAGTATGATGAGTCTATTTTATTACAATGTACTAGGATTTATTTTTTTCCTTTGAAGTATTCTGGATTTGTTCTGTTTGTATAAATGACCATCTCCTTGTGAAAAAGCAAACCAAAGGTGAAGGCTTAATCTCTCCCTGGGGCACCTTGGTTGCTGCTTATTTGGTATTTTTTTCCCTTTTCAGTTGTTCTGTCTCTTGACTGAAGAGAGAAGTGCCATACATTCCAAGTTACTCTTCGGTTTTTCTTTGGTTTGTCTTCATCTGTGGTTTTTTGAGTATCTGGGATTATTGTATGTAAAGTTTTGCATGAAACAGATGATGGTAAACTTCAGAGGAATGCTTGCTCTAGGATGAAGTAATTCTCTGTACCTAAAAAAGGGAAGTGAAAGGTTTTTAAACAATCCCACCTCTCTTTGTTAATGTATGTAAGAAGTTCAGAAAGTAGAAGAGAACTAAAATGGGAATGTGTTTTGATTCAGCAACTGTTACAGTTTTCTCTCACTTTTGTGCCTTAAACTGACACGGTCGATCTGTAATTACTGGAAATCTATGCCCTACAGACTTTATTTTTAGGCAAGGAAAAGGTTGTAGCTTGGAACCAGTATTATAGCGTATTTGAATATTTTGGGTTTTTTTTTTACCTGACCTAAGGCAGGAGTATCTCATGGTGGGATTTGCTATCAGCATCACAAACGGTTATGTTAAAATGGTGCTTTGTGTTTTTCTAAACAAAGGCTGTAAATGATAGACCTTTTTCATGTATGATATTTGTGGTTGCTAATGGTTTATTCTTGGAATAGTCTTTGCATATGTTGAGTACTCTGAAATAGCGATAGAAAGGTTTGCAAGGGCATGCATGCCTTTCTGTAATCTAATCTCAAAAGACGTTACTTTCACATGATGTGGTTTTGAAGGCTGCTTCTGGATGTATAAGGCTGGCAAAGTCACTCTGTTACTAAAGCGAAGGCTGATAAATATTAAAACAGGGTATAAGGCATACAGCAAATGCGGTTTCAAAATGTTACTGGGAGGTGAAAGTCTGTTCTTGCATGTGTATATTCCACAGCGTGTAAGTAATTTTCTACCAGTATGCAGCAGTTTGTATAATTGGGGAAGAAAAACCAAACAACTTTGTCTTCCTTTATTGCTCTAAAGCTGTATGTTTGGCGAGCTTCCAAGTGTCCTAAAAGGACTGTTGAGGGTGAGGGGGAAGTTAGATGCAGGATATTTCAGCAGTATGTGGCTGTAACCATGAAGCTAATTGTAGATGATGTTTTTATAGCAGATTTTTCTAATATTAGGGTTTTTTTCTCTCATAAGATGCTTCAGATAATTTAGAGGATTTGTAATACTTCGTCTATTACAGTCTCTGTTTTGAGTTTTCTGGTAACGTGCAGGATTTGTGTGTGTATCTGTTTCTGTGAACTAGAGTGTGCAACAGTCATATAATTTTCTATTTCTGTGTCACTGAGGTAAATTGGAAAGTAGGTATGCCTGACTCCTTCGTGGTAGTGTTACGGCCTTATCAATGCAGTTAAATATTTTGCTGTACTTACTTGGTACCTCAAAAGATTGTTAATTTAAGCTTTTTAATGCTGCTGCTTAAAGACCTCTTTTTGCTATTGAGTTTATGCAAGTTATATTTTTTTTTCCCCAGGTTATGTTGGAAAACTCACCCTCAGTAAAGATAAGAGCCAAGGCTCGCTTTGCAACTGTGTTTTTCCGTACCTCCAAAATGGTTATCAGAGAGATGACAGAGGCCAATTGCATTATGAAGGCACCTCCTAGAGGGCTCTTTAATTTTGTTTTGGGGTATAGAAGGCAGGAATTTTACTACTATGTACTTCTTCCCCCACCCCTGATGAGTCCTTCCCACAGGCTGCAGGTATTCACAAACTGCTCCAGCGAGAGTCCCTTCCATGGGGTGCAGTCCTTCAGAAACAGACTGCTTCAGCACAGGCTTCACAGGGAGTCACAGTCTTCTTTGGGCAGTCACCTGCTCTGGCATAGGGGTCCTCCATGGTCTGAGGACATCCTGCTTCACCATGGTCTTCTCCATGGGCTGCATTGGAACTGCTGCTCTGGCACTTCCTCCCTCTCCTTCTAGCACTGACCTTGGTGTCTGTGTAGTTGTTTCTCACATTGCACTCCTCTCTCCACTGCGGGTTTCCCAGCAGTTTTTTTTTTTCCTTTCCCCTTTTTAAATATGTTATAGAGGTGCTACCACTGTTGCTGATTGGCTCAGCCTTGGCCAGAGGCAGGTCCAGCTTGGAGCTAGGGAAGCTTCTAGCTGCTTCTCACTGGAGGCACCCCTGTAGTTCCCTTCCCCACTACCAAACCCCATCACACAAACCCAAAACAAGCTTGCTTATATACATAGTGCCAGCTGCATTTATTTTTTATGTGGTCTGACTGCTTTTAACTTTTTTTTTTAAAAACCTCATCTGAAAAATTTTTCTTCCTATATATGCTATTGTCATCTTCGTATTCTTCAATCTACCTCTCTCAGTAGTCAAACATTTGCAGATTTGCATTTTTGTGTGTGTGTGTCTGTAAAATACACTATAATGAATAACTATTTTTGAAAGACTTTTCTTTTTATTTTCCTTGGGGCTTGCTATAGTGTGTTTTAGCTTATAGCTCTTACACACATATGTTGTTTTTCATAGAATCATAGAATGGTTTGGGTTGGAAGGGACCTTAAAGATCATCTGGTCCATCCCCCCCTGCCATGGGCAGGAACACTTCCCACTAGACCAGGTTGCTCAAAGCCCCATCCAGCCTGGCCTTGAACACTTCCAGTGAGGGCACATCCACAACTTCCCTGGGCAACGTGTTCCAGTGTTTCACCACCCTCACAGTAAAGAATTTCTTCCTAATATCTAGTCTAAACCTACCCTCTTCCAGTTCAAAACCATCCTTGAAACTTCCCTGTGAGATGACAAACCTGTTCCGTATTTAAAGCATTGCACTATTGAGTAATTCTAAGATCAAAGTTTAGGTGAATATCAACACTGCTACAATTCCTAGTGCCTATAAGACTCCTGATTTAGGCTCCCATTTTTCCTCATGAAGCCATTATCACAGATTCCACATTGATTGATTGTAAATGCACCAGTGGGCTACTGTCAGAAGCAGTGATTAAACAGATTTATTTGTGTGGGATCTAGCTGTCATATGGCTACAAGAAAAGTCAGTTTGGTGAACTGATCCAATGGAAAACTGTGTCATTAAAAAAAAATAAAACTCCCCGTTGCTTCAGCTCTTCATATGTAACTTCGATTGGTACATCTGACTGAAGGATTAAAGTGTGCACCCAAGGGAGCAGAAAGAGCAGGGGGTATTTCTTAGCAGTTAGCCCACAGTTATACATAGGTAGATGTAAAGTAAATCCTTACCCTTAGGGTAGGCTGCAATTCTTTTGGAGAACCAGTTCTACCAGGGGGCTGTAATTTGTGAGGTGTTGGAAGTGGACTGTATTCTAAAGAATGCTAACATTTGGAGAAAGGCAACTTTAATGTTTTGATGTCAAGTCTGAGTTTATGAAATTTCTACTGCTCAGTTGTTTTTAAGGTTTATTTTTGTCAAGGTTGAGCAAAAGGCAGTTTTTAAGGGTCTGCTTTAGTGATGTGCTAAAAGTGATTAGAGGACAGGTTCTCAGATAAGACTCATTTTTGAGCCCGTATCTATTAATACTGTGCTTTTGCATTATGAGTGGTATGGTTTCAGTAGTAATGATATCTGAACAGATTGTCTTACGACTGCTGTTTTCTAACTTTGTGCATTAAAAATGTGAATTAGATAGGGGTGTGGTTAGCAAGATGTCTGGTGAAACCTGAGCGAAACAGTTATTTTGATCTTTCCAAATTGTTGGTCTAGGAGAGATCCTCAAAGTTGTGTAACTTAACTCTTTTGCCACCCCTTTATATTACCTTTGGTTCACAAGAGTTTCTTACTTGTACTGCAAAAATCTCACACAGGAGTTGTCCACTAAATGTTTGAGTTCAACATCTCTGAACTTTAACTTACGTAACTTTTAATAAATTTGCCAGTTATTTTATTGGAGTAGATTCACTGCTGTTGAAAGTAAAACTAAAAGAATATCACACTACTGAAATGTATATTCTGATTCTTGATACAATGAAATCAAGAGCATTGCAAAAGGAAATTTTATAGTATTTAGTGTATCTGTTGATTTACTCTGTTTTTCCGTCAATACTGAGTAATGTTTTCTCTAAGAATTGGATGGGTGGATTTTCAGTGTCATTTTCTTTCTCAGTTCTAAGAGGTGAAAATGTGTTGTTTTAGAAGACTCAACAAACAGCTTCAGAACTGCAGAATGTATTTGAGAATTTAGGAAAAAAATGTCATTTTAACTTAAATTTTTGTTTTGTTTTTTGAGGGTCATGATGAAGAAGCTGTTGTGGATATGGGCAAGATCAGCTCTACTATCAATACAAACTTTGAGAAAGAAGAACTAGAGAGTAAGTTTGTGGTGGTTTTCTGTTTATATGCATTTTTTACCTCAGGACAGAAGATCTGTTTTCCTTCAAGTGCAACCAGTACGGCGAAAAGAAACCAGAATTTTATGGCCATTGTGAAATTCTAGGAATAAAACCAGTAAACGACAGATGACCTGTGCTGGTTTTTGTCTCTGTGCATGCTAATAAATACTCACTGTTACTCAAATCTGTCACAGAAAAAAATACTTAAAAAAATATTTATTAAGCTTTCCAAGGAAAGCTTGCTTCTGAGATTGTAGGTTTGAAAAAATGACTGCTGTCGGTAAGTAATTTCCTAGCATGAATGATGTCACATTTTGCAGAATCAAAACTCAGGAACAGGGGCCATGAGGGAGATGTTTGTTTTGTTTTCTGAAAGTTAAGTGTCCCTGTGAGTGTGGTCATGCACTTGGAATTACTGAGAGCCTGAACAGATAACAGGCCTTCTTGTGCTGTAGTGACTGTGCGTTGCACAATCTGCAGTCAGTTAAAGTCTTATGGAGTCCTGTTAGTCTTCATTACTTGACTTAGGATCCTGCATTTAGCAACAAAAACAGCGTTGAGTTAGTTTCATATAACAAAATGCAACATTAGATGCGTCATCTAAGATACAATTCGTACTGACTTGAAAAAGGAGGTAGATTGGGATGAAGGTTTATGGATGCCATTTAATGAAGTCAGAGGAGAAAGCTAGGGAGACTGAGTGTTAAAATCTCACTCATTCACCTTTACGTAGAATGCTCTGAAGCTCAATTAACATTTGTAAAACTCTGAAAGACTACCAGTAGATTCACTAAGTAGTATTTCCCGACAGTACTGACTCTTGCTGCTTCACAACACTGGAGAGCCATTATATCAGCAGTTTCTAGATGAGAAAAGTTGGTTTAGGTTTCTTATACTGTGGTCTAGCAAGAGACAGTTTGAAGTCATTAAAGTTGTTTGCTGCTGTTGCAGTTATACTCTTGCTCTGTTCCCTTCAATCTGTTACTGCTTTCCATCTTGTGCTGACACTTGTTTGTCTGACTGTACCATCAGCCTGGTTAAGTATGTTGAACCAGCAGAAGATGTATGATAAGAAAGATCTCAGCATTTGAGAACCCCAAACCAATTTGCCATACAGGTGGATGTGTGCCAGTGCTGAGCGGAGGAAGGAAGCGTGAATGTGAAGCTGAGAGGTGCAATGGTGGAGGCTACAATGCCAATTTAGATAGGGTTGAGCTGTGGTGAAACCACTGTCATGTCTGTTTCTGCAGTTAAGTCTTCAGTGTGGATTTAAGCTGTCTCTTCCTTCGTTTCCTTCGCTTGTTTTTCTCTCGGAGATGACCCAGAAAAAGCATTTGTGTGTGTTGCAGGGAGGTAGGGGTTAAGGGGAAGCAGGCATTCAGCTGCAGTGGTTTGCTGTGCAGCAGCATGAACAGCTGTAGTGCGTCAACCACAAAGAACGACATGAGAACCAAGAATGACATGGGAACATGGGAGAGTGCAGCCACATTGCTTCCTCTTGTGTAGCACGTTCACAGGAGTGTTTCAGCTGGTACAACACTGCAGTTACACTGGGTGGGAAAGCAGGGGGTTCAGGCTGCTTGAAGCAATTCAAGCATTTGTATTGCTGAAAATACCCCTGTCTTACTCATGACCAATGAATAAATTAAGGTGAAACTAAGACTTCTGTTTCATGAGCAACTGAGTCAGCATAGCAACTGTTGAAAGGAGGAGACAAGGAGATCTTGCAGTCATCTCCTTGCTCTTAGCCATGCAGTGTTATCTTTCCTTTGGCTACCTCTCACTCTCTTTGAGGTGACCCACTATAAATGTCTCAATGCTTGAGGAGGCTGGCTATACAGAGGTAAAACAAGTAACTAATAAGTATCTGATTATAAAAATGCATTCCAGTAAGATTATCACGTATCACATATCTTCATATAGGCACACATTTTCACACATGACTAGGAATTATTTTTGGTGATATGTTTTATAGTATCTTTATATATGTATGAGAAAATTGGTCTTTTTTTTAATGGTAGAGTTGGTAAAGGGAAGGACGGCATGTATTTTGACTTTTATCATTGGAACCTGTTCCATAGTAATAACAAGAGGTCTTTCCTTTGCTGTATGAAGGAGAAAGGTATGTAAGTACAGTTGTTTATGACTTACATAGTTTTCTTCTCTGAGATTCACCAAAAGAGATTCTTTAGATTCAGGGTGTTTTAGAGGATAAATTTATGTGAACGTACAGCTCTATTTGTTTATGAGATCATTCTTCTTAAGCTATTATGATTAAATAAGGTATGTGGGATTTTTGGGTTTTGTTTTTTTTATTCTAGTGTTAATATCTTACAAGGGGAGAAATGGAATTGTTGGCTGCAAGCAGTAAAAAGCCTCCAGATAGTATTATTTTTCCTTACTGACTTGTGAACGTTTCCTTGTGGGCTTAGTAAGACCTGTAGTCAAGCATCGGGTATTGTAAGTGTTTTAGGACCTGAAACTGTTTCAGTCCAGTCTTTCAGCTTGTTTTTCTGGTGACTTGCAAAGGTGTACTAGGAATGTCAAACCTTTCCAGTGTGTGTGTTGATTCTTTTTCAAGGAGAGGCAGAAAGCAGTTAATTCGGTTCAGCTATGTTGTGGAGCACCAAACCTTTAAGAGCCAGCATGGACAGGTGATATTTAACTGCTTTACAGCCTGTACGAGCCAATGTTGATTGGTTTAATGCTGTAGAAGGCACAATATTGCTACTAATACGAAAGCAAAGCTTTCTTTGTGTTGCCAGTATAGATAACTTCTGTTTTCTGGAAATTTTGTGATGAAATATTAATGGAAAGATGGCCAGATGCTAAAGGGGAAAACAGATCTTGGAGATAGGGCTTCCCAAGCTCTGCATTCTATTTAAGGTGGCTGGGAAAGTGTGGTACATATCCAGTGTGACAGTGTTTCGGTTAAAAAGGTTAGGCACAGGCTGCTGGTTTTGTAACTCTCTTCCAGTGAAAGACGAATGAGCAGAGAAGGTAAACTGCAATTGTGGGCAGACTGTGTGTGTCCTAAATAAAGGTACCGCTCTTTACTCAAGCTGCAAGGCCTTACTTTGAAATAACAAATGTCAGTTTACAGAAGAGTTAGAAAGGGGAATAACATCTTAAAATAACATTTTAAGAGCACCTAATGTTCTTAACTTGATACCAGACTCTTCAAACAGCAATGAATGAGAGTAATAACAAAGTCAGACAGGAATTGGAAGTAAGGCAAGAATAGTAATGGCAGAGTTATTTCACGCCATCTTGTAAAAGGCATTTTCTGTTAAGAACCATGTTTAAGGAAAGCTTTCTTAAACCTGAGTTAATATGGTTGGTTTGAATTACCAGGACCTGTCTTTTTAAATGTGTAGTTATTTTTCCACTTTGATTTGAGGATACATTTGCTAGATGCAGCTTAAGGGAAAAGGGATATATTCTGTTGTTCTTAGCAGACCAGTTACAGATAAGGAGCAAAGATAAGGAGTTTACACATAACAGAAGTCTTGTTCGAGAAACAATCTGAGGTCGAGTGTGTGTCTCATTAGAGTAGTTTTCTGTGACATAAATCTAAGAAGCAGCTTTCAAGACTTAAGATTATTTAATACTGCTGCTGCTCTACTCTCACACTGTCCTGTGGCACGTGTAAGTAGTGTTTACATTTCAAGTGACCCTATTATCTCTGATACCTTGATGGTTTAGAGCCTTATTTTTCCTTTAAGAAAACAGACGTGCTTTTCAGTTAATCTTAGTTGATAAGGACAGGTAATTAAGGAATCCTGCCTTTTTTTCTCCTTCTAGAAGTAAATATTTTGTATCTAGTTTTTTGCAGTTTAATGTGTTATGATTAGTTAAAAATTGTTTCAGTATTATGAAAGGGCTTTGAAGAGCTAAGGGAACTTGCGTGGCAACTTGTAGTAGAATGTGCTGCTAAGATTTTTTTCTCCCTGGTCTCAGGTTTACTATTTTACCTTTTAGATGCCTCTAAATGGCAAATGTTCAAAAACCCATTAATAGTTCCTGTAAAGTCTTTGAAGAAAACAAGTTGTACAGGAACCAGTAAACACAAGTAATACAACAGCACGTTGTATCTGCTGGCACTTTAGTATTTATAATTTTATGCGTTGTAATAGGCTGTACTGATTTACACAGGCAAGTTTCTTATGGTTCTCAAACTACAGAAGGAGTGCTTGAACCTGTAAGAAACTTTAGAAAAGAACTGTGTTTAAGCACAAAAAAAATCCTGAAATGCTGTTTCTCATGAAGTTGTCTCTTTTTATGTGGTCAGAAAATAGAAAAATGGTTTACTGTTTGTGAAAACAAAAATATTTAGGATGGTCATTAATGATTCTTGCAGACTGCTTTTCATCCACCCTCTTCAGTGGTATCCCTGAATTAGAAAGATCTTGCCTGCTCCTTAGTTTGGGTTGAACTAAGCGCAAGGGAAAACATGTCTGTTCAGATGCAGCACAGCTAGTCAGGTAGATGAGACATGCTCTGAGTCACAGGCAACATCAACAAAATGTTCACTTGAAGCAGTTGTGCTAGTAGCTGGTGCTCAATGATTCCTAATTTTATAGGAATTTATATCAACTGACTTTTGGAGTAATACCAACCACGTGATGGAGACATGCAGCAAGATCCTAACATTTAAATTTGTTTCATACTGATAAGGACCTTAAGTAGTAAATACTCTTGGTGGATTTGAACAGATAAGCTTAGATAAAGTCATGTTAGATTAAAATGAACAATTATCTCTCGAGCTTTGTATTACTAAATTTAGTATTGGGCAGTCTACTAATTCTATTGATTATTAGTTTAAAGTAATTCTCTAACGAGCTTTGCTTGAGAGTGGTACTGTGGTACATATGTTTGTGTGAATAAAGCTTTGGAAGTTACATAATTGTACCTTTCAATCTCTTAAAAGCAATATTCAAGGAAAAGGTTGTGTTCCTTTTAGAAGTAACACTGATGCTAGTAATATGAATTGCAGCCTTTTTAGAGTTAACTTTTTCTCCTTTGAGATCACATTACTTGCCTTTCTGGCTTTTTTTTTTTTTTTTTGACCAGGTTGAGAGGAACTGGAAGTTGTTTTGCCCAATTCATTGGAGATGAAGGAAAAAAAAATCCCTGTGTTTTTCTTTTGTTTTATTTTTTCCCTGTAAATTGTGTTTATAGGTAAAGCTTTATCTGTGCATCTACAAACATCAATTACTTGTGTCTGAATAATGAAACTTAAGGAAACACAGACCTACTCGATACAACTGCCTTTATTTTTAGAGGGCTTCTCAGTGCTTTGCTTTGTGGAGTTAGAATTAAGATTTAACTTGTCCAACTTTTATTATGCAGTTTTACCCTACCTTTTAGAGTTGAGTATGCCTTTGTTTTTGTGTAATTGTAGTAGTACACAGAACAGCAGTAGTTTTTAATTTCCTAGGTAGTAGTGGAGATGTCTTTGTTTCTGAATGTCCACGATACCAAAAAAAGGATTGCTTTCTTAAGGCATGGTCTGCTGCACTCATAAGCTGCTGTTTGCAGTAGCCAAACTTTTCTTGGTTTCTCTATTGTATTGCCACCCCCCCCGTGCTTGCTCTGAAAAAAACCAAACCAAAGAACATCAGAGGCTGTTTTTCAACATTAAGTTTTTTCTTGAAGTTATTCTGGTAGAATTACATTGGATTGCGATGTATTTTACTTAATAATTGCTGAAAATAATCTTGCTCGTCAGCATTTCTCATTAGTCCCAAAATAAAGATGCAGGTGTAGCAGCCTGATCTCTTTGCATATACAGAAGTGATTTGGGGAAGATATTCTTGTTCTACATTTGCTTGCAAGACGGTGTCTATGTGAGGAAATAGCCATCACTCAATAGTTACTTCTGGGCAGTGTTGGCTGAAGGACAGGATAACCCATTGCGAGCCTGTTCCCCTGTCCTTGTGATACCCTGACCTGCTGGGGTTGTGAGAATGCACGTTCTTGAAATTTACGTTCTGCAGTAGAAAGTGATACCACTGAGCGTTACAGGTTGTGGGCTCACTGCCCAGGTTGAGGACTAGGTTGGCAGTGCCCACTTGGTGTGCCTTGGAGCAGCTGAGAGGCTCCTGGGCCACAGTGATGACTCAGCGGTCAGTGCCCTTTCGAAAGCAATAGTTATGATTGCAGGTGGTTTAAAAACACCTTCGATTTGTTGCTTATTTCAGCTCAGTTTTCGCTGGCTTTTACCTGTCCCTTTGTACCGTATCTGCTCTCCTTCAAACTTCCTATTGAAAAAGATTTTCAGGCTGCAGTTTTGTGGTAGGAGATGGACTTCTTGATTCTTTGTTCCACCTGTCTTCCATGCAGCAACATTGACTTTGACTACAGAAATGATCATACTATTACAAATGCTATTTTTTGCTATAGCAGGGTGAATTGTTTAAGATGGAGGCTTTTGAAAACAAAATAAAAAATGCATGGGATTTGTGTTTGGTCTTCAATACAAAAGACAGTGTCAGATTTTTGATTTAGTTTACAGAAACAACAAGACACCAAAATGTGGAAGTTCTAATTTTCCAGAAATTAAGATCTTGAACAATTTTATATAGCTATAGTTTAATACTTGCTAACTGAATATATGAAATAAACCAAAATTTCTAACAGGGATGATAACAGTATTTGCAGTGAGTGGTCGGTCACTCCGTTGCACCAGGCAGCTTTGAGTGGGGTGTGGTGACTAACGCAGCTATTTCTGAATCTACTACTTTTGCTTTCCCTATACATAAGATTATTTTGTCACAATGGTGTTGATAATGAAACCATTTTTAATGATGCCATGTAGGCATATTATACATCAAGTGCCTTGATTTATGTTTAGATGTCACGTTTGCGCTTATTTTTCTGGGAATTGCATTGTGCATAGAAGTCGTGTAAAGCTCACCGGCAGGGCCTGAGTTTTTTTGTTGGAAGAAGCTCACAAAAGTCTTTCTCTATAATTAGGACTGATGAATGCTTCAATAAATTAATCTCTTTTCCACTCTTACATGGAAACAAGCAGCTTTTATCATGCTTAATTTTAGCTTTGGTCATAGCGCCAGTTGGCTCTAATTAAACCTAGTGTTGGAAGTCTGTCAAGAATCAGGTCTTGTAATTTCAACATGAATCTTGACCAGATTAATTAAACATTGAACTTACTCATGCGTTGTTACTGATTTTTGCTTAATCTTTTTACTCGTGTGAAAATACTGTTTTATAAAAGTTTTGTGTATCTTTTTGGGCTTACAGATGCTTTTCTTGGAAAACAACTTCAACATACTAACATTTTTTATTTCTTCAAAGCTCTGTAATCAGCAGAGTTTTTCAATATCCTTAATTGTGTGTGTGTGTATTGTAGAGACATATATACATGCATGTATGCTTATGGCCGCAACTTTAGGGCTTCCTTGTCTTCTGTAAATTTGCTGAATTTGCATCCCTCTTAAGAGCTGGAAAACCACTTCCTTTTCCTTTTGTTAATGTCAGTTTTCTGTAATAACCCTTCTACAGTATGAAGCAAAGTATTTAGCGTTAACCTCCAGGCTTACAGTTAATGTGTCTCTTCCTGAGATTGTTTGTTTAAAAAGGGTTTGAAAAGTTTATTGTATATGTTAACTCCATTTCAGGAGACGTAGTAGTAATAGGTTCATAACAATCTGATTGATGTCTTTTGCCAAGCTGTTGATGCTAGTATTGCCTTAATGTGAAAGGTCAGAGGGAAAACAAGATGTTGAAAGTACATGTTTTAAAGAACAGTATGTATTAATTTGAGGATGTGCTACTTAAATTTATTTAAAAAGATTCTGGAGAAGAGAAGAAAACCAACCTAGTCTTCTCTGTAAGTTATTTGATGTTTTGGCATACATTTCCAACTATTAAGTTTCTTTAAAGCTCCTAAACTGATACTAAATTAATGGTATAGTTGAATATCAGGTTCACCTAGATGTGTCACTACTTGAAGAAATATTGGCAGTTAATTCAAGCAGAGAAGTCCTTGCAGACTTAAACAATAGGTAATTTCTTAATGAAGTTCATAAACTGAACTTGGAAATTATGTTGCAATGACTGTCCTGGTGTGAATCCCTGCAAACAAGAGGAGTGACTGTTCTGCCTTGCCCTGGTGTTTATCAAGTAGCTTCTTTCAGTATTAAAGATCAAGCTAGGTTACTGTGTTACATGTTTAACATCTGAGTTATTAAATTGGGCCATATTCTTACGCAGTTTATCAGGGAAATGAGTATAGTACTTCTTGACATTGGGGAAAGACAGAAAGGAAATGGTAATATTAGTTCAATAAAGGTAGTTTTGCCAAGTACTTTTGGGTTTCTTTTTGTCAAGCTCCGTGTCTTTTTGACTGAGACACAAAATTTGGGCAGGAGGTTGTTTTGTGTTTAATTGTTTCCCTTTAAATTTTCTTGAAAAGGCCACAGAGCTGTGTATATTGGAGTTCACGTCCCATTTGCAAAGCAAGGCCGTCGACGGCATAGACATCGTGGGCACAGGCATCACAGAAGAAGAAAAGAAAAAGAAACAGACAGAGAGGATGGCCGAGAATCTCCATCATATGGTAAAAAATCTGTTATGTCAGTTCTTTGTGTCCCTTGAAAATAAACTTGTAGTAGTTACTCTGTGTTTAAATGTTGTTTTGTGCTGTTTCTTTTATTCTCAATTAATTGTCTTTCTGTGTATAATCAGGCAAGGATTTTATGGTGGTTTTATCTAAGTCATAAGCTGTTGACTTCATCCAGGTGTCTACATGAATCTTCCAGCAGCCTGCACTGAAGAGGTTTAGCTAGAGCTTTGTAATACTCGCCTGTTCAAATTAGACAGCTTTATTTCAGATTGTGTAGTCTTTTATTACTCTTCCTCTGTCACTCAAATTTTGGAAGTATGAATATAGCTGTGAACCAGCATCTGCCGTGGTAACTTGATCAATGATCTATTCGAATATTTACTTAAGCATTTTTGCGCTCTGTTTGTAATAGTAAAGGAATGGTACTGTTTTGATTTTTGGATCAGACACCACCTTCTAAAGAAATGTCCATGTTTATTTTGCTCCTCTTCCCTCTTGAAGAGGATATTGTGCTGCGTATTCCTAACTGAGAGAAGGAGACTGAACTGTTGCGTGTGGAGTCTCCTTCTCTGGAGACATTCAAAACCCGCCTGGACGTGTTCCTCTGCAATGTAGCCTAGGTGATACTGCTCTGGCAGGGAGGGTGGACTAGATGATTTTTCGAGGTCCCTTCCAACTCCTAATATTCTGTGATTCTGTGATGTCTCTTGCGTAATAGAAATATGAATTATTTTAATTGTTCAGTTTCTCCTTTTCTTCAAGACACACCATCCCAGCGAGTACAGTTTATCCTGGGTACTGAAGACGATGATGAACACATTCCCCATGATCTCTTCACTGAAATGGATGAACTTTGCTTCAGGGATGGAGAAGAATATGAATGGAAAGAAACAGCTAGGTATGCTTCAAGCAGATTGTTTCAATCTATATCTTCTCGTGATTTTATTTCAAAGAACTCCAAACCAGGTCTAGCTTAGAATTTTCATGAACTGTAGGAGTTGTTCACTCAATTCATGCTCTGGAAATCGTAACTTTATTCTTTCTGTCCAACTCTGAAAGAATCAATATGGTTTCTCAGGAGACCCTCAGTCTTACTGGTACTGTGTTGACTTTCCTGAAACTGATCATGCCAAGCATTGTGAAAGGTACAGCTGTGTTTATTTACAAATACAGGTATTCAGCCAAGGAGCACAGTATTTAGAATCTTAAAAATACCTTTGCTCTATTATTGCTGATATATTGGTGTCAAACTTTTTCACTCGAGCGTAAATAAAATAGAGCATTTACGTATGTTGTTCTTTGGTAGTGTTTGATTACTTTTTTGCAGATTGCATGCCTGAACATTACAGGATGCAACAATTATTTTTTACCCATATTGCTTATGTTCCTTCTTTCTATATATGCAGTGTAACCAATTCTTCTGCATTTAGTACTTCTGATTACCTTATTGTGTGCTAGGTTTGCAGAAGTTCCTAGCTCTTAAATTACCTAGCTCTTAAATGTCTGACTTAGCACTGTAGGAAATGTGAACACAGTATATGGTGTGTTTCAGACAGCCTTCTAATTGTAAAATGCTGATGAAACTAAGATATGCAAATCAAGTAACAAGGCACAATCCCACACTGTTCACAAGAATTCGTGAATAGGCAGGTATTATTCAAACCAAAAGAAACAATGCGTGAAAACTAAAAATAGTTGAGTGTGTTTGAAAGGCCTGATAAAAATGTTGTGACTGTCAGTCAGTTGGATTGACTGAGAAAATGAGTCAGTATGAGCTCATGGGATTTCCTGTTCCAGATTGTGCAGAAGCCACAGGGAAGAATGGGATTGCTTGCCAAATTGTCTCTCTTCCAAGGAGAAATATAAAGATGTGTATGTGTATGTATTTCAGGTGGCTAAAATTTGAAGAAGATGTTGAAGATGGTGGTGATCGATGGAGCAAGCCTTATGTAGCAACTTTGTCTCTGCACAGTCTCTTTGAACTGCGAAGCTGTATTCTTAACGGGACGGTCATGTTGGACATGAGAGCAAACACACTAGATGAGATAGCAGGTTGCAGCAAAACTTTTTTTTCTAAAAATATTTTATTCCTAAATTTTAATCTATAACTTGAGACACTTTTGAAGGTGTCTTTTTATGTTCTTGAAAATAATATGTTGAAGAAATAGGTACGTGCATGCTTACTGCAGTTTTCTTCATCTGGTTGTAAAGAGCTAGCCCTGCAAACTTCACTTACAAGGAGCTACACTGGACCTTCTTTATTACATATTTTAGGATGAGGCCCAGAATTTGCCTTTATGTTCTAATCCCTGAATGTGTTCTTTGTCTTTGTTTCTACAGATGAAATGTAAATATCTGCCAGAACATTTTAGGACTTATTTGTGCACTTTAGTACCATAATTATTATTCATAACTTGGCTGATGTTAACTTGATGCCCTTAGTGCAGTTGATTGTTGCACATCTGGTATTTTTTTCACCTTTAAAAGAGGTGAGCAGAAATAAATTTTATACATGTTGTTTGACCTACTATGTTGAGTTCTCACTAATCACATGGTCATTTTGGATACTATAAAATCAGCTTTGAAGACTTTTTCATATATACCTGCTTAGCCTGAATGCCTTTGAACTAGTTTTACATAATTTTTCCTGGTATCTCTTGCTACAGGTACCACACAATGGAAGGCCTTCTCAGGAATCATGCTAGGCTTAGGGCTGACCAGCATGTATGTGAAGGACAAGGTGTTTCGACATTAAAATCTTGGGCAGTGCTTGAAATGTTTTCTTGTTTTGTTATGAAGTCTTCAAAATTCACTCAGGAAATTGATATTCCCTTCCTGTTTTCCTGACTTACTGAGCAAGTGTTCAATACATGGTTTCTAAAATTAATGTTCTGGTTTTGAATTTATTTTTAATAATTTAATTTAGCAGTAATCTTAGCTCATAAGAAAAATAGTTACTGCTTCATTCTGTATCAACAGCACTGTTAATAGCAGGTATTTTAGTGGGAACTAGGATGTCTTAAAGAGATTGCATGAATTTGTTTCAAGTTAATTTTAGGTGCCATTACAAAGCATGTAGGATAACAGTCCTTGGCATACAAATGTATTGTTTTGTTTCCACGAGCCAGGAATACCTAGTAGGTATTCTTGGTTCTTACTCAAAGCAGGAGGGAGAGGTTGGCAGGTTTCCTGTTGAGAAGCTATAACAAAAGGCTGGGTTGTCAGTAATCCCAGAAGGAAGCTGCACTGTACTGACAGAGACTATGCTGGATCTAATTTTGTTTGTAAGGTATTCTGGGCCAAAATATTTTTCACTGTGAAAAGTTCCGTGTAATTGCAGTTTACCAATACAGTTAGGTTCTCAATACATCAGTTAAGACTGGCAAAATGTATTTTAAAAGTTGTCACGTAGGTTTATGTTGATTTGTGCAGGTGGGGTTTTTTCCCATTAATTAAAGAAAAAAAGAGGCAGCTAAGAAATCACAGCAGATATTTTCCTGCAGACATGCAGGCTTTCTTTCCCGATGTGAGTGTACTGATGAGGTGCCCTTTTGAAAATTGTTGTTTGTCAGCTGATCAGTTAGTTTTAGGTGATGTAACTAGCTTTTGTTTTACACTTCCTCTTCTGAAGCATGTGAATCATGTGAAGTTTGATAGAGAGCCTCAGGATCTTAGGGCATCTGAAAGTGGTAGAGGAGTTAGGGAATTCATCTCATTCTGTAATAACTCTGTTTTGTATAGTTGTATACTTTCAAAATACGGAATACCCGATTAAGGCTGTCTTAAGAAGTCTATTCGTCATGTTTCTGTCTTCGTGTCTTCCCAAAACAGCCTTAGTGGTGGGCTGTTGAATATATAGATGTTTTTTCGGAAAGAGAGTTGCTGTTGAAAGCTGAAGGACCAAAATTTACGAAGTTTTAAGTTAACTTATGTCTTAAAATGGTGCTACTAATAAATACTGTCTTGGGTCTGCATGTTGTGCTTTCCTTATTCTCACCTTTGCTGGTTTAGTGACATCTTTGAATAGTGACATCCATTTCCTGTGGATTCTTGAAGATGACTTCGCTAAAGAAAAGACTTCTTTATTTTCAAATACATTTTTTTCTTATTATTTGGTGCAACTACAGTGTCTGAGTGTGGTAATGGAGAGAGTTGATAGCTATATATATAATTTTCTTTTTTTCTTGTTGTTATTATGTAGATATGGTTTTGGACAACATGATTGCATCTGGCCAGCTGGATGAATCCATAAGAGAGAATGTGAGAGAGGCTCTTCTAAAAAGACACCATCATCAGAATGAGAAAAAATTCAGCAATCGGATTCCTCTGGTTCGGTCTTTTGCAGATATAGGCAAGAAACATTCTGACCCTCACTTGCTTGAACGAAATGGTGAGATAAGTTGTAGCATCCAGTTTGTCCTAACCTGTTAAATAATGTTCTCACTGGGAGATGAAGGAAAATTCAGCTGATAAGAGCAGATAAGTGTTTCCTTCTAGATAAGCAAAGAACTAATGATAACAGTGTGTGCTATGTGTAGCTGTGGATGATGGTTCTGTGTGTTTTTGAGTTTACACAAACATTCTACTCCTGCCTGTATACGTAGCATGCATTGTTGTTTTGGAGCATAGATATAGACCTAATAGTCCTAATATTTTTTAGGTTATGCTTGAATAAAATGTGTAATGTTTGAGGAATTTCAGCATTGTGACATAGCTTTATATTTTTGTCTGATGGATCCTACTTGCTTATCCAGTCTTTATTCTAGAGATTTACTTTGTGGTCATGTCATGAGTTCAATGATTCTGGCAATTAATGTGTTTTAATCCAGTGTTGCCTACAAAAAGTTCACTATGCTAATGGTGAAGAAGTTACTTTTAGCTAGGACACAGTTTATTTTTACCATGGTTTGTAGCAAAGGATCTAAAGGGGGAGGGGGACCAACCCAACACTAAAAAAAAGCATTTGTAATGTTTTTATAGACTGTACTGCATCTTTTATTGAACTAATTCCTGAAAATATTCTGGAATATCAATACATTTACTCTAGACATCCAGTTTCAAAGTCCGAATAGCAGTATGTACTGCAGAGCAGCGTATTTTTATTCTTGGATTTTTTCTAGCCTCTATTTTCATCTCTGTTCAGTATGTTTTCTTTTGCCCTGCATTAACTAAGACACATATAATTTCAACTGAAATTTTTTAGTTTACTGAAAACTTAGTACTGATTTCATGAATCACTTGAAATGAAGTTCCTTTCCTATATTGAAAGATGCCTTATTGCTTTGAACATGTTCCACTTAGTTAAGTGCATGTTTGGAGAGCTCAGTTCATCACATACTTGGTATGCTCCAGCAAATGTCCCAAGCTTGCTGATACTTTTTGTTAGCTAGTGAATATATGATGCATGCTTAAGTATTTCCCTGGTAGTTTCAGAAGTATTTTTCTAGAATGAAAATACAGCTAATTTATATAAAAGCATGATTTCTTCTATAACTTCTGACTTTCCTCTTTTGTTTAGCAAATGTGAGTATTTCATATATAAAATTGGTTTTATCCGTCCTTGAGCATCTGTATCCTCAATTGTAATTCTGAGAATTCTGTATTCAAGGTCTCTGGCTTGTCAGTTATTCTTCATGTGTCACTTTCACTTTCCAGTGCATTTTATTCTTAATACTATTCCTGCAACAGAATATGGGATATATGCTGAAATAATATGATGAACTCTTTGCCAGTGTATATTTATTTATCTGTTCTTTATAGTTCTGTGTTTACCCTCTAATAAATGGGTAAAGCAAACATACATACATGCCTAGTACTTTTTTAGGCTCCTTTCTGCACTTTTGTGTTAGGACATCTCACGGTCATGATTCATCACAGATACACTGACGGAAGTTCAGTTACTACTACTGTAGTGATTAATATAGGCAAAATCAACCAGTTTGCTTTATTGGTCCTCTTGTCTTCACTGCGGTTTTAGTAGTTGATCTTTGAGGCTTTTGTTCTTAATTGAAATTGAGTTTGTATCTGTAGGGTCCACTCTTCTATTGTTAGAGGCGGGGAGGGGCAGAATGTATGGGACCTTTTACTTAGCCATACTTTCTGTGCCTCCTGCTTGTAAATTATTCTAGGGTTGTTCAATGTGTGGGTCTCTGTAGTGCCTAGTGTAAATATGAGACTAAATGTGTCTAGTTTGCTGTTTCCTTGCTCAGTGGTATGGTGTGGGAAAGCAGCATATTTTTTATTTTGGGGATTGTAGAAGAAGTAATCAGTATACTTCTCAAGAAGACTGCCATCCGAGGCAAAGTGTTTGTAGTAAATGGGAGGAATGACATTGCTGAACTTTCTAATGGAATTACTCTTATGAGGATAGGCAGCCTCTCTTCTTGCTTGAGGAAGAACTGAAATCCATGACAAACTTAAATCTAAGGGAACCTTTACAAGACTGTTCTTTTTGTATGAATTTAGTGGGACATTGAAACGAGATAGGTCAAGAAACTAACAATGGATTTTGGAGAAATGTGCTTGGTTTTAGGCAAATGGGGACTTTTGGTAGGTCACAACAAGAAGAAATGGAGAGGGGACTATGTATATCTCATGCTTGTTCACTATTTTCAAAACCATATATTGAGGCTACAGCTGACTAGGAAACTTCTTATTAAAACAAGACTTTTTATTGGAAGATAGTTGCATTTCACATGATTAGATATGTTTGATCGTGTTCATTTTGAAAATACTTAAATTTAAAAAATTAACAATTCTTTGTATGTAATGGATGCAGTTAACTGTGAAGCCTTGTAATGTTTTGGCTGCTAATGATTTTTAATGCATTTTTGAGTGGCATTAAAGGGAGCTGCTGTGCAATTTGGAATAAGAAATTCTAGGAAAATATGAGTCAGTTTCAGGAGGTGCAGGTTTTTTTGTTGTTGTTATATTAACAAATCTTACTGACTTTAAGATAATACCTTCTACGTATCTTTGGCATTCTATTTAAAACTCATCAGTAATTTCTGACTTTTCTAATGGCTGAAATCAGATGCACTCTTATTGCATCTTACTTGCATGAGTATGACACTTCTGGCCCATAAAGCTTGCAGTTTACTATATAAATTGTTAATGCACATTTGTATCTGTGTATTTTTAGTATATCCCTATCGTAAGCCTCATGGTGTTTCATTTGTTTTATCTCAGGGGAAGGCCTTTCAGCCTCCCGCCACTCTTTGCGAACAGGTCTCTCTGCCTCAAATATTTCCTTGAGAGGAGAAAAACGTTTGTCTGTTCTTCTCAATTACCTTCTTCCTTCTTCAAGAGCTGGAACCCCGGCAACCTCAAGGTGTACAACCCCTGTAACTACCCCTCAAAACACACCACCCTCCAGTCCTACGTGCAGCCACCTGCCAACCACAAATGCCCAGCCAAGTCCACTTCAGGGCAAGGAATTGCTAGTGTCACCTGCCAGTGATGATATTCCTTCAGTAATAATCCACCCACCTGAGGAGGACTTAGAAGTGCAGGAAAGCCAGGAAAAGAAGACAGAGGAAAATATTGACCAAACACCAGGCAACTATCAGCATTTAAGCTGTTCATGTGTGATGCTCTCTGCGTCTGGATCACTTGCATTGCAATGTTTTTTTGGCACATAACTTGGGCACAAAGGAATATAACTGTTGCCTTTGCCTGCATGTTTTATTTCTTCTCAGTTGTGACTGTTTTCTTGTTCAGCGTCTTTAACCTTCTAGCTTTTAACTAAAGGCAGCAAAAAGAATTATTTAATTAACCTTCATTTGTGTAATTAAAAAGGAATATGGTGTTAAAATATATATATAAGCAAAATGTCAAAAATGGTGGCCTTTTCCTTTCACTCACCTACAGTCCATGTCAGGTTTTGCTTTGCTGTTTTTGTCAGTGGTTGAGTTAATATGTTAAACCAGCATTTGATATCCTGAGATAGCTACAACTGAAGACATAGTGAGGTATTAGTGATGAATATGAAAAGAGTTAGGAAGGATGCAGTAATCAGTGGTGTTTGTAGTTGTATCGTGAATTCTTTAAGCAGTTTTATTTTTGCTTTTGTGCTTTTAAAAACCAGTAGTAGTTTATGATGGAACTGGCAGGTTCAGTTCACCTACAGCTGTTTCCAGATAGCAGTCTGTTAGTGTACTGCTTCAGCATCAGACAGTTGATCACTGTTTTGTTATCTTTGATACACAAAATGGGATAAGGAAGTTAAGGTTTTTATAATCCTAGGTCAGAATTCAGTAACTTATTAATTTGCTGTCTTGCTGTTGTTCTTTACTTGTAAAAAGGTATGTAGATGTACATAAAAGTTGAAAGGATGGAAAAGACAGTTTCTTTAATAGTTTTTAGTAAATGTTTCATAACTCATGCATTCTGCATACATACTGTTATACTTGTTTACACTCACATCTTTCATCAGTGAGGCTTTCCTTGTTTAATAAGTAAGAGTACACTTACACATAGAAGTGAAAATATGTTGACGGAGAAAAGGCTGTGGTTATCCGTCTTTTCACATTTTGCAGCCAAGTCACTGAAAAGGTAAGAGTTAGAGTAGGGGCTCCATCCTTACTTCAATTCAGAACAGCAAACAGAAACTCTCTCTGACTTCTGTATGGGAACTTAAGAGAATTCACATGAAGATCATTCTCTCTCATGGGTGATCTTTCAAAGGTAATTAAAAATCAGAAGTAAAATAACAGCTATAATTGGTCTTCCAGTTCTCATTTTTTTACTCATCTGAAAGGAATGACAGCATGCCAGACTCAAGGTCTTCAGAACCAAAGTGAGGGCAAACAAATGAAGATCAAATACTTGATGCTATTATTATCACTAATAAAGCTTTCCAGCAGCATCTCCAAGTCGTGTTCAGACAGCTTTAGTGCCTCAAGGGGATGTTTCTCGTAAAGAAAAAATCTGAAAGGGATAATTTCCCAGTTAATCCATAAATAAATGTCTTTCCAGAGAAAGATGAGCACCAATAATGATGGAAGACAGTTTTGTTTTCTGGGTTTTTCCCCCCTTTTTAATTCAAGAAATTATCTGACCACAAAAAGACACATTTTCCTTTGAAGACATTCTCAGACTATGACTTTAGGGCTGCAACTGGACTAATCTCTGTCTTGGGAAACAGACTTAGAAGGGAACCCTGAAGAAGTAGTAATCTTCCTTGTCTTAATTTAAAAAAAAAAAAATAAAAAAAGTCGTCTTGGTCCATCCCACTGTAGACTGTGGTCTGTATTATGTCGCTAAGTAATTCAGAATATTGCAACCTGAATACTTCTTCCACGTCTGTATGATTGAGTTGGGTTTGCCTTCTGTGAGTGTTGGGAACTGTTAATTTTCTAATAGGTGGCTTTCTTCTGTTTAGCATTAATCAGGCTTTATTATTTAGTCATGATAAATAGCTGTAAGGTTACTGAACTTAATGTGAATTCTTGCAAAAGGAGGGAAGAGTCTACCACTTGATGTTTATCAGCCAGTCATCAGTTCATATTAAGTCAGCCAGGCAAAGGGTTCTCTTTAACAAGTTTTTTTCTTTTGTCATTAGTTCAAGAACAGTTTTTGTTTTCCCATCTTTGAAACTGTTGAATAATGAATTTCATAGGTAGAACTAGGAAGAGACCTGTGTCACAACTAAAGATGAACACTATTAATTCGTCAGCCCCATTAAGCTTTGTTAATGTCTGTGAACAACAGCAAAGCAGCTGATTTGAAGGGGTCTTTTGGTTCACCAATAGATGTCCTTTAAAGTTGAGGAAGATAAGGAAGATAATATTTAGAACAGCTTTGCTCTTACAATAATTACTTAATGCAAATATTAATTGAGAAAGCTTTGCATATTTGCTTTCTAGGGGTAATTTTAATTTTTCTTTTTGACATAAAGGGTGCATTGGAGTTTATTTTTTAAATGGAGTTTTATTTCCTCCAGTACAAACATGACATGACTTTGTATTTTAAAGTTTCGTATTTTGTAAATTTTGCCCATATAAACATAATTATGTTGGAACAGTCATGGTTAGGTGTTGAACTCATCTTACTTACTCCACCATTTTTTTTAACTGAAGCAGAGATGTGAGGCAAGTATCTGTATTCTTCTTGCTTTATTTTTCCAGTAGATAATGTCTATTAGATGATTGTGATAACATTATTAAACTTACTATAGTTTAGTAAGTTAGAAACTTGCATTTAGAAAATGCACATGATCTTTAGTGAAAGTGTACTTCTAAGCACTTTAACCTGAGTGATCTTACAAGGTTTTAGTCCAAACTTAAGATTCAATCCACTGTTGTCTTTTGAAGGAGGCAGGTAGTATATCTGCATGACAACATCAAGAAGAGTACTGTATATTTTTAATGATCCCATCAGTAGCTTGGTAAGACTAGGTGAATTTCTCTGTCTCCCAGTCTGAAGAAACTACTAAGTCTTCCTTTTAGCAGTAGCCTCTGAGTTTGTATCTACTGAACTGGAGAAGACAATTAAGTTACTTCATTAGCGTGAGATTTGAATAAAAGTGTTTCACTATTAGAGATGATAATTTTTTATTCTGAGTTTCCCTGCAAATATCAGATTGATTGATACACATAATGTATTGTAGTATTGTATGTAAATGCTTGCTCAGGTCTGAACACCTTTAAGCAGTATTCTCTCACATCAGCACAGCAGCCTGTCCAACTGCAAGACCAACAGACGGGAAAACTATTTACACAGGGTTTAGGATCAGACAAATGTTCCTGTAGCAGTGCCAAAACTTGTGAACCTTAACTGTGACTGGTCGGAGAAATTTTGAAGGCGGACCTTTTAGAAGACCGAGTATCACTTTAATACTGAAATAATAAATTAGTTTATGCTAATATGTAGAATCCGTATTCTCTATCCTCCTCCTTGATTGTCCCTCCACATTTTTTTCTAGTCTCTGCTTGCTCTTGCTCACAGGGCGTTGCTCATTTTCCATCAGTCGTATGCACCTTCAGTTACCTTTATTGTTACATAGGAGGAAAAATGTGAAAAAGTTTATATGCATAAACTTTTATATTGTGCTGCTCTTCTGCAACAACTGTTTAGTATTTCTGTTCTATTTCTAGTCCTACAAACACATCTTAACATCAGCTCTTATGCGGTAAATACTTTGAACAGCTTATTTCACAGGTGGTTGAATGCTGTTAGTTATTCTTGTGAATAACACATACACCTCAGAGAAGGGTAGGATATCATTGTTTTTTTTTGTTTATTTTGTCTGGCTAACTGAATGTAGTATTTATAATGTTAATTACTTGGGCATGTTAGGATTCACAAGGGAAATTACAGCTGATTAACTTCATGTGGTATTTGCTTCAGGAAAAACTACCCACACCACTTATATCCTTGCAAACTGTAAGAATGATAATTAATGGTAAAGGCTTGGACCTGCATGTTTTCCACTGATATGATGGCTCTTTGAAAGAGTTTTTTGGAAGTAAATTTGGGGATCAGATATAGTGAATTCAGTTGTCATTTAAAATGAAACTCTTTGTAAGAATTTTTTGGAAATAAATTTGGAAATAGAATAAAGTTAATTCGGTTGTCATTTGAAATGTTAAAAAATGTCAAATTGCTAAATCAGAAACTTGAAGGGATGCAAGTAGTTATGTAGTGGTAGTTATGATAGAACAATAGCCAAAATGTAGCCAATGAGGAATTTAGTTTTATTGTGACTAGAGTGAAATTTGACCTAAATACAAATTTTCTGTGTCTAATAAAAAGTTTAGGCTTTAAGTCTGTGTGTAGATGTTTTGAAAGCATGTTAAAGCATGTTTATCACCACATCTGAAAGGTCTAGTGTAGACAAGCAAGGCCAAACACACTTCTAGTGCATGTTAAACTGAACAAGTAAAAGCTCTGTAATCCAGAAGATGGGATTTGGGCTTGGTTATGCATGCCTAGACCAGCTTTTAAATGATAGTTGGGTAGGGATAACCATGATGCAACATGGAATTTGGAGTGTATGAGCACCTGGGTTACTTGCCTTCTGCACCCTTCACTGAACCTGCAATTCAGTGTTGCTGGCAGCATAGCAAGCTACATAAAACGGTTTTGTCTTGGTGCAGATACTAGAGGGAAGCTGTACATTTACATTGAATAACCTCATTGTACGTGCTTCTTTAGCTAATGTGTTAGAGACCATTTTATAAAGGAACATTTGGTCAGATCAATAGTTGGAGCTTTGATATGTTGATGGAAATCACGGTTCACAAGCTGTCTCTCCTTCACATAGTACGCTATTTGTTTGTACAGGTTTAGTTAACTACCAGGGTGTCATTCCTTTTAGTTGTAGTCTGAGAATTGCTGAGGCTTTTTACACTTGAAATAACTGCTACACAACAGGTTAGATGATAGATATTTGCTTTTGATGTTTTAGGACTTCTAAGTAGTAGTGAAGATTCTATCTACTAATGCTTAGAGTGGTTACAGTTAAAATATCAACAGTTCTTTTTTCTGCAGTTAAACTAGCACTTGTTTTTTGGTGACTGTTCTGCAAATGGCCATCATTTGGGCAATATTTGATTTTAATTTTTTTTAAGTACATCATTATTTTGGCAACACAGTGACTTGTTAATGTTGCGTTTATGATACTAATGTAGGGCACTTTTACTGAATAACTTGCACATTTGCTTCAAGCAAGCTGCCACATTGAGTTTTGGTAGTGTCAGTTACTCAGGTCACTTCATGCAGCATTTTGAACTCATCTCCTTTGTTTTAATTTAGGACTATTAGCATCTCCACAGTCAGCGCCTGGCAATTTAGACACTGGGAAAAGTGGAGACATTAAAGGTACTGGGACAGGAGGAAGCAGAGAAAACAGCACGGTTGATTTTAGTAAGGTAAATAATATTAAATACCTTAATGTTTAGCACAAAATACCTATGTGACAAATAACGTGGTGGTTCTTATTGCCCTCTTAAGTACAGCTGAGTCACATATACATATGTATGTGTATGAGTGTACACAAGACATACGTACTAAGACATGACTTGTATGTACGGGTGTCAGAATATGGTGTAGGCTACATGTGTCAGATACTTTGAAACTCTTCCCAGTGGGACTGAACTTTCTGTTTTGTTTATGTTCTTTTCAGTATTTTGGTAACTTAAAGAGTTCAGCCACTGTACTTTCTCATGCAGAGACAGATATTTTCAGATCTGCTATAAAGACACTATGAAAACAGTTTTGTAGATAGTGTTGTAATGTTGGTTTTTTTTTTCCTAGGACTCACTTTTTGGGTTTTACTTTTGCAAAGAGGGCTTCTAAAGGGGATTTGCTTCATATGTTTTATGAGTTTACTGTACAAAAGTTACTGTACTTCTTAATCATTAGGAATACACAACATCACTTTTGAAGGCAATACTGTGTAATACTGTAAAACCTTTGTATTTCTTTGATAATTTAAATTTGCTGGTCAAGTTCCATTATGGCTTTTACTATAAAACTCAGTATGTAGTGTCATCTGTACTGTGAAACAATGTGAGAGAATTGGTTTGCCAAGTTAAGTGATTATGCTTAAGGAAAGCTAACTTATCCTGTAGTTCTCATCTAATCATGGCAGATGCCATTTATTCCTGCTCCTCTGTCACAGTTTTTGTGTTTTTGCTTGGCCTGTCCTTCTGTACACCTGCCTTGTCTCCTGTTGGGCAGGAGTCAGCCTCCTGGCACTGTAGTTGTGGCACACTTGGTGTGGGACTCAAGAGGCCATCTGTAAGTTCTCTAGATTAGCAGTGTCACTGGTGCTTGTTTGTGTGTGTGTGTTATGTGAACACAGAGTTCATGTGCTGTACCATTTTCTAATACTCCTCTGTAATTATGTACAGAAATGGAAGTTGAGATTTCCAGCCACCATATTCTTTATGGATGAAAACATAAACATAAAAATTATTTTTCCAAATTGCAACATATTTGAAATACACAGCTGTGAAATAACTAATTGCATTCTAGAAACTATGTGTAATTACATGAACTCTCCTTAGTTAATTGTGCATAGCTTTTGTTAAGTTATATTCTTTCACAGAATGTTTGTCATGATAATATTAGAAAGGTGGTTATGCAGATTGGAGTCTTCTAGAATATAGTAGGTGCTAGTAACTCTAACTTTAGAAAATTGTTTATTATTTGTTGACTGGCTGGCTGACATTTTCTACATATGTTTGTCTTTTCTGTACTGTGGGATATTTAATTTGCTTTTTTATTTTCCTTTGTTGCATAAATTTCTAGTAAATACAGATAAACTTATGTCACAGAATTTTTGCTAACAAATGCAAGGGAATAAACACTTGTTTCATCTTTGTATGAATAGGTTGATATGAACTTCATGAGGAAAATTCCTTCAGGAGCAGAAGCATCAAATGTGTTAGTGGGAGAAGTAGATTTTTTGGAAAGACCTATTATTGCTTTTGTGAGGCTTTCTCCTGCTGTGCTTCTCTCGGGTCTCACAGAGGTTCCAGTTCCTACACGGTAATTAAATGTCTAGAAAGTCTGGCTTTACTTACACAATAAGATAATAATATTTAAGGTCTTAAATAGTTGTACATTTTCTTGAGCTTATTAGACTGTATATAAATGTAGACTTTTTTTATAACATGATGCCAGTCACTTGCTGCAAGATTTGACAGAATGAGATCCACTGTAAAACTTTCTGAATACTTTAAATATATATAATGATGCCATCTTAAGCAAGTGCAGAAGTTGAAACTGATAGCTGACCTGGAGTAAAAGGAGTAATTTTGATTCAGGATTCGAGTTCTTTCCAGTAATGACTTCGAAGAGAGTCTTAGTCTTGTGGCAGTCTTCAAGATCTGAAATGAAGAAGATATTTTTTACTTCACCGCTAATTTTTCTTTAAACGGTACTTTGAAAGAACCCTCTGAGTATATTCAAATGAATCAGCTGTATTCATCTTGATTGCTTTCTCCACAGGTTTTTATTTTTGTTGCTGGGACCAGCAGGTAAAGCTCCACAGTACCATGAAATTGGAAGATCAATAGCGACACTTATGACAGATGATGTGAGTGATGTGTTTTAAATCTTGTAGTTAAAGGAGTCTAGAATAATGTACTTTCTGACTGTTTTCAATAAAAGTTTTCTGGAGTGACAGGATAAAGAAAAAATGAAGAACTGTAAACTTACTTATTTCTTGTGTTAGTGAATTAGATAACGGTAAATTAACTTCCTCTTGTCTTTCTTGAAGAAATGCTAAATGTATTTCTGAAAAAAAAAATCTAGCTTGGGTGTAGAGGTTTAATTTTTGTATTAAATTAGGAAATAGAATTATTAAATTAGAATTATTAGAACTACATCTAATATGAATCACTGTATGTCAAAAAGAACACAGCAAACTGTGTAAGTGTTCAGAACAGGAAGTTTTAAGAATGCATGTGATTGAGTCATCACAGATTTTTTTTTTATCAAAGCAAGGTCAAATAATTAGAATTTTACTAGGCATATGAGGTCATATGCTTAGAGCCGTGGTGGATGGTTTTAAATAGCATGGGGGAAATCTGCACTTTTTAAGACTGTTGTCACAATAAGCTATGTCATAAGACTGATATTTTAATTCTGACTTTGCCTTGAGCGCCACCTGCTGAATTACTGGTAATTACAGTTATCTAGCAGAAATTCTAGTATTTCTTTACTCTAGAACAATTTAGAGTTTGGAAATGTGAACCAGAAATTGGTCATTTTACAACTGGGCAGCTAATCTGTGAAACTTTTCAAAGAAACCCTAATAAAAACTTGTATTTTGCTTTGAAGGTTAGTTAAAGTATTTTTGTCATGATTTAGCACAGCGCAGTGACACAGTGGCTGTAGGACAGAATTATTCAGGCAATAGTACATTAACTTGATTTAGTGGATATTAAAGATTAACTTGTAATTAATTTTAGAAATGAACTCAGTATTCCTTTTGAGTTTGGAGATATAACTTACTTATGTTCCATAGGGATGTGCACGCAGGTAGTTCTTAATGCAAAAGTATGCAGGTTAAGTGGAATGCTAACTTACGAGAACCTTTAAGAAATTTCCCATACCTTTTCCAAAACAATGAAGTGTTCATTGTAATCAGTTCCTCTCTAAAAAAGAATAAATGAATTTTGAGTACTTTCTTTTTGTAGGTTTTCCATGATGTTGCCTATAAAGCAAAAGACCGAAATGATTTGTTGTCAGGAATTGATGAATTTTTAGACCAAGTGACAGTCCTGCCTCCAGGAGAATGGGATCCATCTATACGAATCGAGCCACCAAAAAGTGTTCCTTCCCAGGTAAAAGGGAAAAAAATAAACTAATTCCGGTAGAGATCTCCCATGATTTTCACTTCGAAAATGCCATTTCCCAATGCAAGTAAATTGTGTACTCGGTATAGACTTTAGAAAAGCATCAGGAAAACCCCCACATCCATTTGGAAAACAAAGTGGATTGTCCATTTAAGTTTTTTTTTTTTTTTAAATGTTGGATCAGTTTCCTGATTTGCTGTTAAGTAAATTGTATTCACTATATTCCCTTTTGTAATACTGAAATGAGATCTTGTGATATCTAGGACATTTGGTCTGAAATTGTACTGAGTTCATATTATAAATGTTATTATTAATCTAACGGTGATCAGCAAGAATATTGTAATTCTTATAAAAACTCTTATTTGCATACAACATTGATAGAAATGTTTTAATATATATTGGCTAGTATATAATGTTCACAGAATGTTTGTGACATAGATGAAAATGGATTGTATCAGTTGTGATACAAGCTTAGAATGAGAGGGGGAGAGGTCAGAGCTCTTCATTCAGAGGGTTGGTATTGATGTTGAGTCTAGTGGTGGGTTGGGGGAGTGGGTAGAATGGAAGGGGTGACAGCATTGCAGTTTATTCATGAATAGCCTGAGACTACCAGTTAACTAATTTCCAAAATAAATAGGGCTGGGAGGTTTGGAAGGCAAGCTCGGCTGAGAAATAGGGCTTGCTTAATAGGGGAGTGACTTCTCATTTGTACTTCAACTAAATACAGATACTGTGTGTGTCATAAATTGAGGTCAGTTTCTGTTAGAAGCTAGAGGCTTCTGCTCTGGAAATGATTGAGAAAAAAATCTAAAGATTTCTAGACCTCATGGTTGAGCCTCTACTGTGTCTTGAAAATGCAGGCTTTGCTGCATCCTGTCTCAGGGACATATTTCTTGTAGAAAGAAGGAAGCTTCATACTGTTGTGCAAGGTACTAATAAGATCTTTTTGGGATTGTTGTACAGTTCTAGTCGTCTGTACTCAACAAAAGATGAATTTGACAAATGGAGGACTGCTGATAAGCTGGGAATATGAAAAAGGTTTGGAAAGCACAGAGTCTATGCACGCTGTCTTTGAATTATACTTTTTCACGTAAAGGCAGCCTCAAAGTATGATTTTATTTTTCTTTTTTTCTTTTCTTTTTTCCCTGTAGGAGAAAAGGAAGGTACCTAAATTTCCAAATGGATCTGCTCCTACAGGAGAGATTCTCAAAGAAGAAGGCCATCATGCTGGACCTGAACTTGAGAGAACTGGAAGGTGTGTTCACTTCCCTAAATACTAACTACTATAAAGAAACAAAAGTGGTAAATCTTCACAGTTTTTAATGATGACATTTGAACATAAAAAAACATGGTATAAGTGTCAGAGTGCATCCTTTTTCCTTTTCAAGTGTTGGATTCTTGCCTATAAATGCCAATCTGCTTAAAGCATTTTCAAGCCTCTGGCAATGTTTCTCAACGCACTTGCAAAGGGTTTTGTATAAGATGCTGCCTAATTTAACTAACTAACTTTTAAGAGTTGGGGTTTAATTTTCAATTGTCAAGAGCATGCAATTATCATAATTGTAGCAGGAATATACAGTTTTCAGTATTGGGCTAGGTACTAAAAATTTCCATTAATGCAAATCTGTTTTATTAAATATAATTGAAGTGGAGCAACAAGGAATATAAAGTGACAAAAAATACCTTGGTATTGGTTAGGTTTTGGTTAGGTTTCTTTCAGATCTAAAACAAAATTGAAGGAGTTTCTTTCAGTTGAGTTGTATTGTTGTTCTCTGTTTAGAAATACTTGCCAAAAAAGTCCCCAACATTGGAAATACCTGTTTACAGTTAAAACTTAACATCTCATATGAAAGAGTAGAGATTAAATAAACTGAGAAATACTGGAAAAGATATACAATGTTGGTATCCCCAGAATTACAAACTTCCAAATGAAATGCATCTTTCTTACACCTTTGCAAGAAGGATTTTCCAACATTTGTGTTCATTTTTACCATTTTGGCTGTGTTATACTTACTTTTTGCCTTTTTGCAGACAGTACATGGAGCCAAGAAGTTAACTTTTACCCACAGAATTCTCTCTAGATGAGACTGTTATTTTTCTTAGGAATGGATTTTTTTTTTCCCCACAATTCAAAATAAAATCTATATTTTGTAGGTGCAAATCATACCTAGTGTTTTGGAGTCTCGACAATTTTCTGGAAAGTGACAAAAGCTTTTTAGTTTCTTGCTAATAACTTACCCAGTTGAACTGGCTTACGTATGTTTGGTTTTTGTGTTTCCATTTGGAGAATATCACTGTGCTCCAGATAAAAACATTGTTAAAAATGTTAGACCTAAATTTATTTCTGAACCCAACCATATGTATGTAGAAAATTTGAATTAAAAAAAAATACAGCTACTTATTGGAATAGTATTATTGAAATGTATCAATGTAGTGGTGTTGGTTGAGCTTTAGCATATTTCTTCTATTCCTTGTTTTGAATATCATAAGACAGATTTGATTTAAAACATTATTTAGGTAAAATCATTTGCAAAGATATGTTTTCAGTATCTAGCCCATATACAAAAATACCTAGCCAGCTTTTAAAAATGTAGATAACCTGCTTGATTATATTTGGAATACTACCGAATTGGAATAGATAAATTTCTGATTTACATTTTAAACTGTTATGCTTTAATCTGGATTGTGAAATAGCTAATTTGTGTTGGGAATAGGCACTGGCAGTCATGTGTAGCCCGTAGTTTTGAACTAGCTAGAATCCTTTAGTGTACAGTTTGACGAGTTTCATCTCACCTATTTAGGCTTTTTGGTGGTTTGATACTTGACATCCAAAGGAAAGCACCTTTTTTCTTGAGTGACTTCAAGGATGCATTAAGCCTGCAGTGCCTGGCCTCGATTCTTTTCCTATACTGTGCCTGTATGTCTCCTGTAATCACTTTTGGAGGGCTCCTGGGAGAAGCTACACAAGGCAGAATAGTGAGTACAAAGAATGGTAGTGGCCAGGCTTTTAGACCTTCAGAGGCAAGTCACTGTGTGCATTTGTCTCATTTATTTATACTTGTATTTAAAGAATTTACCCACAGCACTTGATTAGCCTGCCCCAAAGCAGATCTTCCCCAAAAGGTAATTGCTGTGGAAAATGTGGGGAACCCATGTGAACAGGAGAAGATGCACAGTGGAGGTAAAAAATGTTTATCCTGCCTTATTGGATGAATGGCTTCATGAATTGAGAAAGGGCTTGCATTGCCTTCTCTTTGACTACTTAAAAATAATGGATAGCAGTAAAGGTGCACCATCCCACTAGGCCTACTTTAGGCAAAGTCAGAGGCTCAAGGTGGATAGCCGAGAACATGTACTGGCCTTGAGTAGTAGGCCTACGAGGATGATAATGCCTGCAGTATGTGGGTAGCAGTCAATTGTGTATTTAAGTAATGGACAGGATATGTATATGCTTTCACTGATGGTATGTTGTTAACAAAAATAAAAAGTGGCTAAGGTTTATGAGCAGAAAATACTCTTCATTGTAAACGGCTTGAATATAAACTATATGCATACAAAATTTTGGTAGTGTTATATCGGGCAGTAGTTAACATCAGCACCTTTTTAACCAGAATATCAAAGCACTTTGATTTCCGGAGCAGGGAAAGAATAATTAATATTAACAGTGTTAATAACTTGGTGTTTATGTCAATTGACTTGTGAGTTAACTATTTTGAAGTGTATTTTCTGTTTTTAAACCTATCATGAAGAAATAATGCGCTGTCCATTTTGGGGGAGGGAAGGATGTATTCGGACATGTCCTTCACCAATTTTAAGATTCTGGTAAAGCTTAAGGTGCTATAAAATTCTTGTTGATACTTAGATCAAGTTTTTATGTTTGTGCTGTATTAAAATCTAGGTAACTATTTTATCTCTTTCAAGTAATGCTATTAACTCAGATTTTTGTTTATTGATGTAGCACTTCAGGCAGATAGCAAATAGAGAAATAAATTGCATCTTTCCACTGTTTTTGCCACTCTAAATGTAGGAATCGTTATCAAAATGTCAGTGTAATTTTTGAATGTATGTCGCATATAATGTTGAAAACATGCTCTTTTTTAAAGCTTGATTCTTAAAAACCTTCTTTCTTTTAGCTATCTGGAATTGTTTGCGGGTTTGCTCCTGCCTTCAGATACTTGGTGTGCATCATTGAATATAAAATTTAGTTACTGCACACACATGTTCAAGCACAGTAGCTGACATTGTAAGGTACACAGTTTGTGTTTGAAACCTTCCCTCACATTCCCAGAGGTCATCACCTCCACAGTACTCCTGTCCCTGCCACCCTGATTGAGAGCCCCAAGGTTAATGCATTGACTAACCAAAAGCACTAATTCAAAGGTAATAGAACAAGAGACTAGGATTATAGATATGTATTTTTTTTCTAATGTAATGAACAAAGGACTTATGTTTCATTTTTAATAGCTGCAGTTCAGTGAACCATTTTGCCCAATTTTAGATGCTTTCCTGAATTGGAGCTTAAGTTTGCATAAATATTGTTTTCTTAGGCTTGCATAATGGCAAAGCAGCAAACACTTAAAAATTCCACCAGAAGCCCTTTAATCTGTAATCCATGACTTCTCGTAGTTGTAAGTGGTGTAGTTAACTATTTTCAAGTAACTTAAGTATCATTTTAGGATCTAAAAAGTCCTGCTCCTCTCTTCTGAGGTGCGTTGTAGCTTTTTTTGTTTTTTAGCAGAAAATGTTATAGTAAAACATTTAATTCAAGAATTGAAGTAGATCTCCTACTTCAGTGAAAAGAAATGCATTACCAGGTGGGACGTTGGTTTACTGCTCATCTGTTTTTGGTGTCATGTATACATAAACCAGTATTGTTCAGTAATTTCCCCTGCACCTTCGCCTGTCAGCTTTTTCTTTTGTAATGCTTGCTTGACTGATGCAGGTTTGATATGGTACACCGTATCATGTTCTGGTACAGGTATGTTGCATTATATATATACTTTTTCTTTACAGAAACAGATAATTCTTTGCATAAACTACATGTTAAGTAACTTAGGACAAAAAAAATAAAATTGTAGTAGTTGTTGGTATGCTTTTTCCTCCATAGCTAGAAGGACTAGTAACTTATTCTCATGGCTTTGGGTGGCTTTTAAGTTTCTCAGGAGTGAAGTTTTCAAAATCTTATGTCCATGGTATTGTTAATGAAAAACTGTTAAGTTATTCTCGTCTCAAACTTCAGTATTAATTGCAGTGTTTTTACATCTTGTCTTGTTTCTAAGTTAATACATCTTAAAACTGTATTTCTGCAGATGTGATGCTAAATTCTAACCTGAAAGGCAGCATAGTTACAGCAGTTTCTTTCCCCCCAAACAGAGTGCAATAGAGTCTCTCTTTGGAGCCTCATTAACTGGGATTGCCTATTCTCTCTTTGCTGGGCAACCTCTTACTATTTTGGGGAGCACCGGACCAGTTCTAGTATTTGAAAAAATATTATTTAAATTTTGCAGGTAAGTGTTGTTTATATTACCTGGGTGCACTTTCAAACTTTCTAGTCTGTTGAAATAGCCGTAATTGAAAGCAGACGTGTGTTAAAAGCGTGCATCTGTGGGGATGTAAATACAGCAGCAAGAGACTGAGAGATGAATGTGGTTTGACAAAGGTCTGAGGCACTGGTGAGCCCTGTGATGAGAAAATCAGCGATAAGAAGTGGCTAGGACTTAAATAAAAATTGCCTTAGGATTGCGTGGAGATGTTAGCTTTGATTCTGCAGGGGTAAATGGGTATTGATCAGCCCTCTAGGAGAAAGCATCTAGATAGTTCTGGGAAGATCATCCCTGTGGTGCTTCCCAAACCTCTAGGTAGCTGCACCTGCAATACTAGAAACACCTTGCTTTGCTTTGGTGGAAGACGAGACAGAACTAAGTTTTAGCTTCCTTCAGAACTAACATCAAGGATGAGAAAAGTGATAAATACCTATAGAGCTTAGCCTCAGTATCTGTTTTCAAATAGCATATTGGATAGGTTACTTTTGACTCAGTTAATACTTTTATTTCTTTTTTCACACAGGGATTACAATCTTTCCTACCTCTCCCTGCGAACCAGCATTGGTCTGTGGACTGCATTTTTATGCATAGTGCTTGTAGCCACAGATGCCAGCAGCCTTGTGTGCTACATCACTCGATTTACTGAGGAAGCTTTTGCAGCGCTTATATGCATCATATTTATTTATGAGGCATTGGAAAAGCTTTTTCATTTAGGAGAAGTGTATGCCTTCAATATGCACAATGATTTGGATAAACTGACTTTATATTCGTAAGTATCAAGTTTCTATCTGTTGCTAAAATACGTAAGGAAAATGTTTATAGTATAAAGACATATCATTTACTAAACTTCAATGTGTGCCTCTCCGTGGAATGGTAGGAGGAATGCTGGGGGTGTTATGGGCATGAGGAACCTCAGAAAAATTCTATTCAGGATGCTGTGGAGTTGAATTTTCTGTTAGCTATGGGTGGTTGGAAGGGATGAGGGGCTGTGACTGTGACTGCTTTAATTGTAGCTATATTAAAGGTCAACCTGGAGATTAAAGGTCAGAACAGGAGTTCTGCCTTGCCACTTCAGCTTTGGTTTTTCCTAATTTTATTTTCTATCTGAAAACTGTTGGAGATCTGGCCTTTTACAATTTATTTTTTTATTTTATTTTATTTTATTTT